TCCGAGAAGCTGACCGTGGCCTCTGGGCGCTCCTGGGCGCCTCCAGCGAGTTTGTGCAGATGCACACGAGGACATTTTCCTCTGGAATCCTGCTTTCTCCTGTTCTGTTGCTCTCCTCCCTCTGCGGCCAGGGCCTGCTGCCCGCCTGCTCTGCTCGCACTGGGCTGTCTCTGTGGGTCTGTGCAGTCGATGCTCTGTACGCTTTTCTTTCCTCTTTTATATACCTCCGATGCTTTTTTTCCCCCAATCTTTCATGTTGGCGTTTTTGAACTGTGCAGTCAGTGGTTTTGTAGACTGTCCCACGGTGTCCCTGTGAGTGGATCCGGGTTACGCATTCTCAGCGGGAGCACTACCCGAAGGAAGCAGAGACTAGCTCAGCCTTCCACACGGGCCCTTGGAGTCCACCTGCCCGATGATTGGCGGTGTCATAGACAGTCTATGGGGAGGTTCTGTCGTCTAGCGATTCAGCGTCCCTGGTGATGCTCCCTTGCACCTAAAACGTGCCACCCTCGTGTACAAATGGGGATGCTACTGAAGCCAACCTTATTTCTCTTATTAAGTTTTAGAAATATCAGCATGGACTCATACTTAAAAAAAAGTTTTTTTTCATCTTGTCACATGACTTTGCTTGAATCATTCACTTTGGTGCTCATACTGTCCTCAATTCGACTACCAGGAAGGTCTTCTAGCTGGTCCTTGTGGGATGGGACCCAGGGCCTCACCCATGCTAGGGAAGCACTCTATCACCCATCCATGTCCCAGCCCTTAGTTTGTTTTCTTATTTTAAGACAGGGTCTGACTAAGTGCTGAGACTGGCCTTGAACCTGTGATCCTCCAGTCTGGGTCTCCACAGTAGCTGGGATTATAGACCTGTGCCATGGCTCCTGGCTCTTTACCACCCCTACCCCTGGCTTCAAATTGGCTGTGTCTTCAGGGAGTCTAGTTCCTCTTAGTGAGGAATGACATTAGGAACCAAGAGCAGGGGGGCTTGGTGTGCTCAGTGCTTTTCGGGGTGCCACTCTCAGGACCTTCAGGTCAGAAGGCTGGGAAATTATACATATTTAAGGAGCAGGAGCTTCTAATGATATCAAAACACTCTACGAGTTTTCTTGCCTTACTTTGTTTGTACCTTTCTTCTTTCTGAGTGAGAAGCTCTCACTCCCTGAAGCATCAGTGTATTCATGGGTCCACTCAACCCCACAATGCACATGAAATAACTTCAGAACTGCTACCCCTAGATTCTACCACCACCACCCCCAAAAAAAAATCTACTAAGAAAGGCTCAAGATTACTTTGTAGGTCTTTGGTCTTTAGTCTGATATATATAGGCAAAGTGCTGTTTTTTGGGGTATTTTTTTTTTTTGGCAAAGTGCTGTTTTTAAAAGCTGCTTGGGGGCTGGAGATGTAGCTCAGTGATAGAGCACTTGCCTAGCAAGCACAGGCCCTGGATTCAATCCACAGCACCCCCCCCCCACAAACACACACACACACACACACACTTTTACTTAGGTTATGCTCCTTCCTACTGTGGCCATATTTTTAATTTAATATAGGATTAGATTAATTTATTTGCTTATTTTTAATTTCAGTTTTCCCCGTCTGGATGATTCTCTTTTAATATAAAATATTTGCCCAGTTTCAGAGGTGCAGTGTTCTCTCCTTGTTGGCACCCACCCCTTTTGCCTCCCATGCGCCTCTCCACAGAGAAGCAGGTGCACGCCTGTATCTTCAAGCATGCTTCTTTCCCGCCTAAGAGGCAGCTTGCTGAGCACTCAGGTCCACGAGTTGCCTTGCTCCTTGCGCTTGGTGGTGTGGTCTGGACTGTGACCCTGCCTTGGGTCCCGGAGGTATCCCTCCTTGTTTCACTGAGGCACAGCACTTTGTTGGACGGATGTGCCACAGTGGATTCCATCTCCACGAGAGCATTTCCTGCCTCTCCAATTACAAATCATGCTGCAGTGAGTTTGCTTGTGCATCTGATTTTCCACATGATCAGAGGGAGGCCTTCAGGATAAATTCCTAGAGGTAAAGGATTGATTCACACGGGGCTTTGTTAGGTATTGCCACATCCCCTGCTCAGAGTCACACTGTTCTGCACTCTCACCTTCTCCCAGTCTTACCTGAAGATGTTGGGAAGCTTTTGATCTTCTGACTGCTTAGTTTTCATCTGCATTTATCTAATTTTGAAAGAGGGAGGTTTTAAAATTTATTACCTATTTATTTAAGACAGGGTCTCACTGTGTTGTCCAGGTGGCCTTGAACCTCTGGAATCCAGCCACACTCCTGCCTCCATGTCCTAAGTAGGGGAATGCAGCAGTTGTGTGACACTGTCCCTGGCTTAACTCAATGCCTTTTTAAAGAGGTGACAAACAGCCAGCAAATCCCAGCAGCTCATGAGGCTGAAGCAGGAGGATCATGAGTCCAAAGCCAGCCTCAGAAATGTCGAGGCACTAAGCAATTCAGTGAGACCCTATCTCTAAATAAAATACAAAATAGGGCTGGGGTGTGGCTCAGTGCCCCTGAGTTCAATCCCTGGTATACCCCCCCCCAAAAAAAAAAAAAGAGGTGACAAACACTAGGCACAGTGGTGCACACCTGTAGTCAAAGTGATTTGGAACCTTGTGCATGGCTCAGGCCTGTAATCCCAGCAGCTTGGGAGGCTGAGGCAGGAAGATCACAAGTTCAAGGCCAGCTTTGGCAACTTTGTGAGACCCTAAGGGACTTAAGGAGACCCTGTCTCTAAATAAAAAATAAAAAGGGCTGGGGACTCTGCTCACAGGTTAAGTGCCCCAGGTTCAATTCCTAATACCGAAGCAAACAAACAAAAACAGAGGTGACAAACTGGAGGAAGGCACTCAGGAAACTGGGAGAGGCATATTCCGGGGGCAGGAACAGCACAGGTGGAGGCCCTGAGGCAGAAACTAGCTTGATGCACTCCAGGAAGAGGGGAGAGCAAGGAAGTAGGTGGCTTAAGCAGAGGGATGGGAGGACTTCTCAGGGATGAGGTTGCTGGGGACCAGGCAGTGCAGGTATTAGTGTCTACAAGGTCACCAAAATTTTTCTGTAAAGGGTCAGATCACAAAGATTTTCACTTTTGCTGTCTGTCTGTCGCAATACTCTGCTCTCCACAGCAGTAGAAAGCAGTCAGCAATATATCAACAAATGGGTGTGGCAGTGAGCCAAGAAATTTGTGTTTATAGGGACAGAAATTTGAAATTCATATACTCTTCAAATTTGAGATGTAATTCACAATATACTGTTCATGTAATGTGCATCATAGGCTTTTTGGTAGATTCACAAAGCTGTGCCACCATCTCCTTAGCTAATGTCACAACACTTCATCACCATCAAGAAATCGCACCCTCGTTAACAGCCAGTTATGGTCGCCCTCCCTCCTAGGCCCTGGCAGCCACTAATCTACTTCCTGTCTCTGTGCTGTTGCCTGTTCTCAGTAGGAACGGGGTCACATGGTGTGTGGTCTTTAGCATCTGGCTTCTTTCTTGGACCAGTTTCCCGTGCATTCCCGTGGTAGCCTAGGTCGGCACCCATCCCCTTTGCAGGCCAAATAACATTCCTTCTGTTGATGGCCCACTGTTTGTTTATCCATTCATCAGCTGGTGGACATTCAGGCTGTTTGCACTTTTTGGCTACTGGGGAATGCTGCTACAAACATTTGTGTACAATTTTTTGGGAGAACATATGTTCTCGATTCCCTTGGGTATATACCTAGGAGTGGAATTGCTGGGTCATATGGTAATTCTATCTTTAACTTTTTGAAGAACTGCCAAAAGAAATCCATATACTTTCTGCATGCTACAAAATATCATTCTTCTTTTGACTTGTTTTTCAGCCGTTTAATTATGTAAAAGCTGTTCAGAAACAAGAGGTGCACTGGATGTAGTCTATGGGTCATGGTTTGCAGATTCCTCTTAGAGGCAATGAAAGGAGTTTGGATTCTGGGTGTGACAGTCACACAATGCTTATTTGTAGGACTCTGAGGGAAGACTCTGATAAGGCTACGTTAGATGGATTTAGGACAAGAAATGGTACGGCCTCCTTAAGTCACCCAGGTCTGGCTGCTGTTAAAAGCAGAGTTCATATTAGGAAAGTGTTATTTGCTTTTTGAAATTCTCAAGCCAGACTTCTCCACACGCTCCATGTGCTTCTGTTTCTTCCGCTGTAAGTGGTGATAAAATGTGTCTACTTCAAAGGGTTGTTTTGAGTTTTGAATGAGTTACTTCCTATATAATGCTGAGAACAGCACCTAGCACAGACCAAGACCCACATAAGTAGCTGCTAGTATCATTGATGCTGTCACTTCTTTCCAGCTCAGGCCTCGTTCTCTTCCCCATAGAATATCACAACTCCCTGCCCATCTGTTCCCAACACCAAAGCCCTGAAAGGGTCTTCTAACACTCTGATCTGTCTGTGTCCTTCCTCTGCCCCAAGCTGCCATGGCTCCCCAGTACCCCTGGCATCATGCTCAGCTCCTCAGCCTGGCATTCAAGGCCTATCAGGACCTTATCCCTGCTCCCTTCTCTAACCTCAATTCTGTGGCTGTTGCCCATGTTGTAGGATAGACTAGCTCGGTGTGCCCCCCATCAAATCTTGCCCATGCTGTTCCCGCTGCCAGGAAATGGTGGGGCTCATCCTTTAGGACTTGGACAAAGGAAATTTTCCTTGATTTCCCTTGGTCCTGCCCCAGGTGGCCTTGGGCCTCTTCTGGACCCACAGAGCTCAGTGCCTGATGCCTCATAGCTCATATCACCCTGCTTGTGATTGTTGGTTGGTGTCCATCTTTAGCTTTCCCAGCTGCACTGAGAGTCTGGGTGGCGGGTTTGGGGTAGGGTGAAGAGGAGGTTGTTGGTTCCTCTTCACACTCCCTGCACCTACTCTAGGTCCAGCCCAGGGGGTCCTGGACGTGGGGGGAGGGAAGGCGGTGCTGTGGGGCTGGGGTTCCACTTCCTCATGCACCAGGGCCCCTGCTCTGCTCCCCCTAGGCCTCTCCTTGGTGGTGGGCTTGGTCCTTTACATCTCCAGCATCAACGACGAGGTCATGAACAGGCCCAGCAGCTCCGAACAGTACTTCCATTACCGCTATGGATGGTCTTTTGCCTTCGCAGCTTCCTCCTTCCTGCTCAAAGAGGTGATGTCGGTGGGGCCCAGACTCTAGGGTCAAGGCAGGAGGGTATGGGGGCCTGATTCCTGGGCCCAGGAGGACAAGGAGGCTGGGATGTAGGCTCTGGGTTATGAGGGAGATGGCGGGACTGGGGGGGTCTAACCCCTGGTCCTGGAGAGGAGGGATCTGGGAACTCCAGCTCCTGGGGTCCTGGTGAGGAATGGGGACTTGTTCTCCCAGGTCTGGAAGAAGGGGGTGCCTGAGGGCTTGAGCTCCACGGGCTTGGGGGAAGAGCGGACTGGAGCCTTGACTGTTGGGTTCTGCGAGAGGAGTGGACTGGGCTCTGGTAAGAGGCCTGGGGGCGCCTCTGGGACTCTGACGGTGCCTTGCCGCAGGGGGCCGGCGTGATGTCGGTGTACCTGTTCACCAAGCGCTACGCGGAGGAGGAGATGTACCGCCCGCACCCCGCCTTCTACCGTCCGCGTCTCAGCGACTGCTCCGACTACTCCGGCCAGTTTCTGCAGCCCGAGGCGTGGCGTCGGGGCCGCAGCCCGTCGGACATCTCAAGCGACGTCTCTATCCAGATGACGCAGAACTACCCTCCCGCCATCAAGTACCCCGACCACCTGCACATCTCCACCTCGCCCTGCTGAGGCGCGGCTGCTGGGAGCATCCCCTCGCCCCTAGCCCAACCCCTCCCCGCGGGCCGCCCTGAACCGCAGCCCCTGCCAGGGATACTCCCGCCAGAGTAAGCTGCTCCACCTTTAGGCCCCGCCCCGCCACCCTCCCTCTCTTCAATGGCTCCTCCCACTTCCCCGACCTCTCCTCTTCATTGGTTCCTTCCACTTGAAAATGACCCCGCCCTCGGGTCTCAAGCCGCATACGGCCACGCCCAGACAGTAGCCCCGCCCCTTCACCCGGTCCGCGAGCCCAGCACCCCCGAGCCCGCCGGAGCCGCTTCACTGCAGGGGCGCTGGGCTGGAGAGTGGGTTCGGCAGCCGCCAGGAATGCCGATCATCTTCTCCCCTGCGCCCCGACTCCTGTCCCGACCTGCCGGGTACTTGGGTGCCGCTCCGCCCACAGCTCCGGGTCGGGTGGGGCTGGAGGTCGCGGATAGGGCTCGCTGGGTCTCTGCCACCCACTCTCTCTGCGCCTCAGAGCCCCCGTTCTTTCTCGCTGGCTGGGCCTTTCCTGCCTCCTGAAGGTGACTTCCTTCTAGGGTTCCAGCCAGTCTTCTAGCTTTCCCAACTGTCCTTGGCCTTTCTTCCTCTCCCCCCCCCTCCCGCCCCCTTTCCTCCCTCCACCTGCACAACCCAAGCCCTCGGTGCATCCAGCCCCGCTCTCCGAAAGACACGGGTGGGGACCCTAGGGTGGAGGGACCTTCCCCACGCCATCTGCACACCTGTGCCCGCCTCTCCCCCCTCGAGGCCCCGTCGGGGGAGGGAGGGGCAGTAGCGGGGGTCAACACCCCCCCCAAAACCTTTGTCTTCCATTTTCTGGCACTTCTCCTCATTGATGTCCCTCTTCCCATCTCACACCCCCAACTTTGGCCTCTTTTAAGGGCCCGTCCGCCCCCATGGACAGATGGGGGAAAAGGGGAGGACACCAGGAAATCACCCACCCGCCCCCCCTTATTAGGGGAGGAGGGGCGAGGTAGCACAGTGTTGTACACGGAACCAGAATGCCCCCCCCCCCCCGGGGTTGGGGGAGGGGGCAGGGGAGGGACGGGGGCTTTTAGTTTGCATCTTAGGGGGGAGGGGGGAGGGGGGCCCGCAGCAGTTAACCTGTCTTTACGCAGCGATTTTTAATGAGGCTGGGGGGAGGGGGGCCTGGGAGGTGGGGAAAGGGGTGGGGTGGGGGGCCTGGCTCTGTTATTTACCGTGTATCATATGTAAATATCGACAGAAACTTCAATAAACTTTATTTCAAACACGTCTTTGCTTGTCCAGAGGGAGGGGGCTTATAGCGCTGCAGAATAGGTTAGAGTGGTTTTAGGGGACTTAATAATGGTAATGAACAGACGCATTTTCATTCGGTCGTGTTAAGTATGAGGACAGCAAGTAACTTGGGTCAGGATTGGTAAAAGTTCCCTTGGTTTGACGATCGTCACTCCCAGTGCTGTTACTACTGCCAGCCTTTCTACTTGCTGTGCTTCCTGCAGCTCTCCCAAGCCTCACATGGGCTTGATTGGCCTCCCTGTGCAGATAGGTCCAGAGAGGTGAAGGGCTCATCCAGGATCACACAGAAATCAACAAAGCCTCTGGCTGACACAAGTCCATCCATCTGGTTCTGAACTTGACTTCCTTCCCCTTCACCAGGGAGCAGCTGGCTCCCTAATGCTTGGCTCTGTCACTCTGTGGAGAAACAACTGCTGCCATTTGTTGCACACACCACAAGCCAGACACTTTCCTCCTGAACACGACCCCTTAGGCACTCACAGCAGCCTGTGCGGAAGAATTATCACTCTGCTTTTGCAGGTGAGGGAAGGAGACTCAGAAATAAGCTCCAAGCTCTGTGGTCTCCCCCACTATAGTGAGGGACTGGGAGCAACCTAGACCTTGGATAAGCCTATTCTTGAGATTGTTTTTCCCCCAGTGCTGGGAATGAACCCAGGGCCTCCCACATGTAGGCAAGCACTCTACTGCTGAGCTACACACTCAGCCCCAGAAAACTTATTCTTCAAGTGTATTGGACAGGAAGAATAGGGCCAGCCCCTCATTCTTTGCCATGTCTAAATTTAGCCTCTTGAGGGGCAATAAGAAGCACCTCTGAATCACACCACAGTTGGTGACATCACAGCCCCATTCCTGGATGAGTTGAGCACTTTTTATTTATTAGCTCTTTGGAGCTTCCCACCTCCCCTGAACTAGGCATCCCAGTCTCCCCATCTAATAGATGAAGAAACTGAGGTGCAGGGAAATGAGGTCACCCAGCTGGTAAAATGCAAAAGAGAATCCGTGCCCAGGCACATCTAACCCCAGAGTCAAGTCTACTAGCTGCTGTAATTTATGACTACAGATCTGATGCAAACTCATTCTGTGACCTTGAGCAAGTCTTTTAATCTCTGGGACTTTGGCTTCCTTTCCTGTTTTAAAAAAAAAAAAAATGAGGGGGATGGTTTAGAATGATTCCAAATCCCTCTGGAACAGGGAGGGCGGTGTGAATAGGTTCTCGGGAAAGAACTCATGTTCAGCAGGGTCAGACTCCCGGAGGGAAATATTCTGAGTCATTTTTCATGATTCCAGGAATTTCTGAAGGTCATGCTTGAGGTTTGCAATGGCAAATACATTTCAGCTTCTTTGTTAAGACCAATTGATTCATAGTGACTGCTTGGAGCACAGTATTAGAAGGATTCTGAACATTTGCTCAGTGGGGAAGAAGTCCCCATTGATTGGTGCTGTCTGTCGTGCTGATCGATTGGTGCTGCCTGCCTTGCCTGCAGCAGGAGTTTTGGTGTTGCAAGTGCTGGATCTTTGCTGACTCTGTCTGAGACCAAACAACTTGAAATCCTATAGCTCATGTTCTTTTTAAATAATAAGCCAAAGAAAAAGATAATTTAAAACAAAAAATCAAATAAAAACTTAAGCAAGTTTTTTTTGTTTTTGTTTTTTACATTTTAAAAATGGAATAGGATCCCATAAAGATTTATTTATTTTTTAAAAAGTCAAGAAAAGTTCCACATTATTTATCTAAAGTAAACCTGAATATATCAATATTGGAACATATTTCAGGAATATACTATGTATATTCAAGCATATATGCATGTGTTTAAATTCACTTATAAGGGAGGGTGTAACAACATACGCACATCTACTTGACATAATGTCATTATATTAGGGAGCTCACATAGTTCTGTACCTTCTGATTGCACATGTCAATGTATTATAGAGCTCATTGAGTATCAGTTCACTAATGTTACCTGACTGTTTTCCAAGAATGCTTAATAATAATAGTTTGCATAAATTAGTTGCATAATTTACCAGGTGTTTTCCTCTGTGCCAGTCACTTTGTATTCAAGTCCTAAACACCTTACATTCCATAACCCAAGGAGGTTTGACACTCTTATTATCATCTTCATTTTACACATGAGATTCCAGACATAGAGAGGTTAATTAATTTTCTCTTGGTCACACAGCTAGAAAATGGCCAAACTAAAATTTGAATCCTGGAAGTCTCCTGAGCCTACAATGCTTCCCCATTGAGCTCTAACCATGTATAATGAAGTCTCACCATTCCACCTGTTTATCTGTGACCATTTTTCACACACTTATATTTTTACACACTTGTATTATTTACAAACCATGTTATACATCAGTGGTTCTCAAAGTGTGATCCAGGGTCCCTGGGAATCCCTGGGACCCATTTAAGAGAACCACAACATTGAAACCATTTTTATGACAATACTAAGATATTATTTTCCTTTTTCATCCTTATTGTCTCAGGAAATAGTGTCTGGAATTTTCATGATAAATCAGAACACAGTAGATTCAACACATAGGCAGGAACCCTACTTTCCTCTATCAGGCCAAACACTGAGTAGATTTTTAATAATATTAACCAATAACACTCTATATTTTCTTTGTATTGGAAACCATAGTTATTTTTCTTTAAAATACATTACTTATATAAGCATGCTCTAACTTTACTATTTTATGTATCAAACACATATTTAAATTATACATTTACATTTTTTATTTTTTATCCTCAGCACTGCAATAAAGTAAAATAAAATAAATCTTTATTTCAAACTAAGAAATGTAAAGCATGTGAAATATCCACAGCTATAACACACACTCAGGTTGCGTGTGTTTTCCAGGGACTTGGGCACGGTAGGCAAGTGTTCTATCACTGAGCCCCATCCCCAGCCACAAGTGGTGTTTTTGAAGTGTGTACAGGAAATACATCAGATGTAGAGATTTATCTCACTTTCTTTTCTTTTGTGGTGCTGGGGATGGAGCCCTGGGCCTGTCACAGGGCTCTGCCCCTGAGCCTGCCCCAGTCCCAGCCTCTTCTTTGAATGGCTATGCAGTGGTCCACTGCACACAGGTGATTTATTTTAACAGTCATTCGTTTCATTATTATTACATGTTTTAACACCTGATCTCGAGTTTAAACTTTCAGCAGCAGAGAGGGTGTGAAGGGGAAGGTGGCTTTGCTTTCCCACCTTGGCAATCCCAGCCTCACCTCCAGAACAATAGATCCCTGCTAGTGGCTTCTCCTCTATGTCCCTGGTCCCCTGGTGGGGTGACCTTGCCCTCAGGTCACATCTGGCAATATGTGGGCACATTTGGGGTGTCCTACTGGCATCTAGTGCGTGCCCTACAAGGCACTCTGCATGGTGAAGAAGAAAAGGGGACAAAAGCTGGTACCCCTGGGATGTCCAGTCAAAGTCCAGGCCCTTGGCTTCCCCAACAAGGAACTGAGCAAGACACACAGAAGTCACGAAGGTGAAGATAGCGCTCTGTTAGGTGGAGTGGAGCAGAGAAGGCAGAAAGAGAGATCGAGGGAGAGACCCCAGTGTCCAGAAATTAGGGTCTTATATCCTGAGCCGTGGGGCCTTCTCTGCCCTGTAGGGACCTGATGGAAGACCTTACCCCATTTGCTCCCATTGGTTACCTTGATATATCTGATTAGAATATTTTCCAGTTCCTCCTTCCCATTGGTTACTTTAGAAAAACTAATTAGAATACTGCCCACTTTACTTCCATTGGTCATTTTAAAATTTGAACCTGTGGCAGAAGTTGTCATGGTGATGTCCTCAGTGGTGGGAGTTGTCATGGTAATGGGATTTGTTGCAAACAGGGACGCCTCCTGGTCTTGTCCTCCTGCAGCTTCTTGGCCATCCTGGTGTCCCTGAACTCCTACCCAAGAGAGGCAAGTCCGAGAAAACCCAGGCTGGACGTTGTCCCCACCACCCTTCCCATCCAGGGCCTCAGGCTTGCTAGGCCGACTGACTGCACCTGAGTGCCACTCCCCGCCATCTGTATTCTCATAACACAAGAGAAATATTGCTAAGCTGAGTGAGGAGCGGTGGTTCTTAATGTGCAGGGATTAGGGGCCCCTCTGAGAATCAGAGAAAGGCTGGGGCCCCTAGGAAAAATACGCCCATTCTCACAAAAGTCTGTACCTGATTTCAGGGGCTTCCCTGGAACCCCCAGCTCTGCTAGAATTCCTGGATTGTGTGATTTTTGAATGACAATCCCAGGGCATCCCGTCCCAAGAGACGTCTCCCCTTCCCAGGGGACCCGCCTGTGCTCGGGCCCCCAGGAGAGGCAAGGAGGGGAGGAGGGAAGCTCAGGCCTCCCCTCCCGCTCCCTGGCGCTGGAATGTTTCCACTTCACCCCGAGTAAGGACGGCTGAGAAATGCTGATCATCTCCTCCCGGTGCAGCAGGAAGAGGAGCCGCGCCGCCCGGTTCCTCTTGAGAAAACACAAAGGCCCTAGCTGCTGCTGACGGAACCGCTCCGACACCTGGGGAGAGGAAGGGGACGGCGGGGTGGGGACGAGGCGGGGCTGGCCGCGAGGGAGGGCCATTCCCTCCTTCAGGCCCCCTGGACAGAGGCCTGGGCCTGTCCCTGGGCCGAGGGGCAGGGCGAGGGGCACAGGCTTCCTGGCGTAGGGAGCGCTCAGGTTGACTCTCTGGGGTGGA